GTCTGTCATACTGTCCACTTCGCCTGAAAACCTTCAGCAGCCTTCTCAAAGGCATTTTTGGTGAGGAAGTAAGGCATGAAGTTTTTGGTGACTTTGAACCACTTGGAAATGTTGAGTTTCCTGCATACTATGTGCACATGATCTGGAAAGCAACCAATGAGAATGACGTGACAGCAACTTGATTAGTACAAGCAATGAAAAAATTACCCTTCTGCTACTTATAAGTGTTCAGGAAATAGATAAGAAACATTCATGATTATTATGATCACTGTACATTAAAAAATAATAGTTGTAATAACTTAAATAGTGGACAGAGGTCCTGCCTTGCATTTATTTCCCAAGTAAGGTTAGCCTGTGTAGCTTGCAGTTGTCTGACTAACATGCAAATGGCAGAGTTGTCAAAAGTAGCTGGCTGCCTGCGAAAATCGCCGCCTACCTGGTTATATTAGGTATCGGCCATGTACTCTGCTTGGCATTTCTTTATGGATGGCGTTTCTTAAATATAATATTCCTGGACTGGTCGCTTACTTTGACAACTCAGCTGTTTACTTCAAAACTTTCTGACAACCCTGAAATGAGCACAAAGTCTCCTGGCTCTCCACTGCCCCTCCTGTATATCCCATACTTTGCACATTCACAGTGTGTTCGATGTTTACCATGTGCTCGGTTGGACATGCTTCTGATGCTCGTTGTTAAAATTGGCCTTTTAAATACGTGAAACATTACACCTCCCCAACATAATCACCACCTATGAAAGCTAAACTAATGCATGTTAGCCATGAAATTTTAGAGAAATAAAATTATAATGTAGCCTAGTATAACAATATAATAAAATGGCGATGTGAAAAATTCTTAAACATTTTTGGACCAAAGTTTCGGACAACTTCTTTGCTTATGGGTGTCAGTTTTGTACAAAGTGCCTCAGTAGCAATCTTAATTTTTACTTCATTATTTTGGATGTCAAATTCAACATCATCATAAAAAACACATGCAACAAATACTGTAGCAGGTTGTGATTGTTGCACGATTTTGTAACATTGAATCGGAGTCAGATATAAAAATCTCTCTTCTTACATGGTTTTAGTTTTGCTTTCAATTTCTTAACTTATGAAATTAAACCAGGAGAAATAACTATACATCATACCTGGCACCTGATTGCCATATTAAAGGCGTTAACAAAAAAATTGGGGCATTTTTTTAGTTTGGAGAAGCAGTAACATTTGCTGTCCATCCCTTCCACTGAGCGTAGACCCAAGCAGTGGTCATTTCTTACTTCAATTGGATTCAATTTCAAAAACAATGCTGTCTGTTTATGATTATAATTGACCACTTCATAAACTACCAGGAGAAAGGTACAAGCTTTGTAACAGTGATTTCTGGATTGTTTGGAATGACAATGATTGGTTAGTAGTTGCCTAAGATTCCCATCAACCAATCATAATAATATTGTCCACCAAAGTACTTCCAGAAGTCACTGTGCCCAAAGCTAGTATCTATTCTCTTAGTTTATTGAGCTGCAAATTGTCAGAAACAAAGTTCTGCATCATAACTTCCCTGTCTATCTCCATACAAGGCATAGTAGGAATAAAACTAAAAAATTAATTATTATTCTCATAAAGACAAACTTCAAAGATAATTTTTTTATTTGAAAAATCAGAAGCAGCCTCTACACTTATGAATGTTCCAATAGTTTCTAGTTTTTACCTGGAATAAATAATGCTGCTTTCAACACTTTACTCTAAGTTTGTTTCGAGGACCAAGGCAACTTTCCGTGACATCGAGAACAAACAGCCAGACCTTGTATCCTTACATAGTAGTCAACACTGCATAAGCTACCAAATTACAGCCATGGGACCAAACAACTAGAAGTATTATTTACCGAACAATATAAAGAGCCCTGATAGTTTGCCCCTGCTATGAACTATATGTTTTCACTGTTCATTGTTCTAAGATGTGTGACACATGACAGCTGACTGTGTAGCTTTCACCTAGTGAACCAAAACTGACTTGGACACCTATGCAGTTGTAAAATTCTGACACCGAAAAACATGCAACAAGCTTTGCTGTCTGGTTTTTAGCCGTCCGAGCTATAACTGATGTGTAGTCTGTCAACAGTGCATGCCTGCAAGTGTTTTCTATTGTGTGGCAGTCTGGTGTGCATGTCCATATGCCGCCCCATACTGTTGATACCACTCAGACTGTAAGTGTAAGCATTCTTGAACAAAATTAATGACAACAACATATTCATGAGGAATTTTGCTACAAGAAAAATGGGAGGACTGAAGGCCAAAGTTTAAAAAAATGCACGATTTGAATAGTCACACCACAGGGTTAAATCAGTAGACTTACTTAAAAAGTTAAACGTCAACAAATGGCTTGGGAATAAAAGAGGCAGGTACAAAAGTCGGACCGGATCAACTCGGACCGCCAGTCCGGGTCGGATCAACTCGGATCGACTCGGACCAACTCGGATCGAATAAAAAAATAAAAATAAAATAAAATTGGACTCGGATCAACTCGGATCATAAAAAAAAATTAAATTAAATCAGCAAAACTGAAAGTTTAACCCATTTGGGGGGTGAAAAAGGCCAGATCATCCTTTTTTTCTCTTTTTCAGGCGCCATTTTGTTTTACTAGTGTCAGTTCCTCTCGGATCATGTTATAAACTCGTGGTTGTGGTTCGACAGTAAAGAAATGATAGTTTCAGTCGCCTAGAATGTATATATTTGCTTATTTATTAGACTACTGAATTATTTATCAGAAAAGCATCAAAAGCCTGGTCTGTTGATCGCATTTAGATAGTTACCGAAGAGTGTTTGTTTGTTCCTGTTTGTTTTGTTTTTTTCTGCAGGACTTCTGAAACTTAATTTTAATGATACACTAGTGAGCAGCACACATACATTTCCAGTGAACATTTTCAACTTGGAAGGAGGAGAAACCACATGCTCGCCCTGGACAAAGGAAATTTCCATGCCCGGGCAAGAATCGAACTCGCGACCCTCCGGTTCAGTGGTCGGAACGTCCGATAAACATGTAGTATTCGGAGGATCGTGAGTTCAATTCTCGCCTGGGGTACGAAAATTTTCGTTGTCCCGGGCGAACATGATTTCACCTCCTTCCAAATTAAAAATGTTCACTGGAAGTGTATGTGTGCTGCTCACTAGTGTATCATTAAAATTAATAAAAATAAAAATAAAATTAATTTACGCAACCAAGAGTTCGTGACAAAAAAACAAAATGGCGGGTGAAAGTAAGTGATACCGACTGATTTTATTTTTCTTTTTATAATCCGAGTTGTTTTTTTTTTCTATGATCCGAGTTGATCCGAGTCTAATTTTATTTTATTTTTACTTTTTTATTCGACCCGAGTTGATCCGAGTCGATCCGAGTTGATCCGACCCGGACTGGCGGTCCGAGTTGATCCGGTCCGACTTTTGTACCTGCCCGAATAAAAGGGTCTTTAAAGGAAAGTCAATTGTCCATGAAAGTGTTCTATGAAGAAAAAAGAGCTTTTGGAAGGAATGGCAGTACATCTGCTTCATCAGTCTGCTCATCATAAGGGCAGAGATCGATGGATAGCAGAACAGTACAGTTGCTGTTGGCAACAGGGAACGAGCAAACAGTCACTGATCAGACATGTTCACTAGCAAAGGTTGCCAATGAAAGGAAACTCTTCATTGTTACTGTAAATCCTCTGTTAACTCCCCCCCCCCAATAAACCCTCCCTTTTCAGGGGAAGGCCCCCCCGTCTATTTTAGGCCTCCGCCTCTTATTATTATCTACTAATAAGATTTATTATGACAGACTGTATTCATCAACCACTACTGTCAAACTTCATCTGGCCTGATCCAGGATGGTTTATGCACCAGCTGAAAGTTTGCATTTGTGTTGGATCCTCAGCTGCATGACCTCCAACTTCTTGTACCTGAGCTTTTCCACCTGATACCATCGTCTTTGCTAAACAATATAAACTTCCCTGTCTCTATTAAGCACCTCCTCAAATGTGTTTGAAATAAATAAGCCCCCCTGGAGAATTAATAGAGGATTTACTGTAATAACAATTAACAGACCCAAACAAGCTCAAACACATAAAGTTCAATTCAGTCACCCCCTTATTCCTTAACACCCGATGTTTCCTACAGTTTTTACTTCTGTTTATTTGATGAGCAATTAACATTAAAAGTGCGGTTTCTCTGCATTAACAGTGAGACTTTAAGTAACCAGTTCATTTCTCTACTCCGAAACAAAAGTTTGGGTTAAAATCGATAACCAACAGATTCAGTGTTTTACTGATTTTTCAAGTTTTAACGAATATTGTTGATTTTGTTTAATGCGAAGTTATTTCGTTGGCTTCCTAGAAGATTTGTGCAACTCCAGGAAATCCGATCAATATCAACGTGGGGCAACATGGAAACGCAGTTAAGGTAACTGAGATTTTCATTTTACATGTCATTCAGGTTTTTTCGCCAAAATGCTCATGCTCAGTTTGACCATTGTCTACAAATTCCAATACAAAAAGAACATACCCCCATGAATGACAAAATAATTATTGAGCTCGTCGTTTCACAATATCATCATGATTTGTCAGTATTTCGCAGTTCAGTTGTTTGTCTCTGTCTTCGAAAGGCAAATTGTTTGAGTCTGCTCTCAACAATTGTTAATTTTTTAATCAATTTCCCCTCGCTATTTAAACCCGTCTATTTTCTATGTCGGCGTTTATCATCCATCGGTTTTCATCGCGTCTTTCCTTTATATAGTGGCAAAAGTCGCACGCATTTCAGCTGTAATAAATATTATTTTAATTTATAAACGTTTTAGTGTCAGACCTGCAATTGCTTTTTTTCAATTCCCCTTACGTGACTACATATGCGGGTATATTCTAACTCGATTAAAATTCTTAATGAACATTGGCTTGGTTGAATAAGAGGAAAACCCGCTGGAATTTGTCTGGTATTTTTTAGGGTGAAAAGGGCGATAAAGGTAGTAAAGGGGACGCTGGAATGAAAGGTGCAAAAGGGGATGGAGGAAAGTCTGCACCTTGTAATTGCAAGTTACAGGTGAGATATTCCTTTGATGATTTTACAAGGTTCGTATACACCGGCCGTACACGATAAAAAAGTGAAAGCGATGGAATCGAACTCAAGAAGTCAGAAAATATATAATATTTTGTGAGCTTAGTAAAATAGCTGATAGCGAACGTAAAGCGGAAGAAGAAATAATAAATACGAAGTGCAAAAATGAATCCTTGCATGTTCGTTGTCTATCCCCCTGAAAACTAGCAGGTAGTGAAGTGAACAAGGAAGTTCCATTTCTCATTTCGAATTGCAAAGTTCCTTTGGACTTCAGGGGTTCAGTTTATGCCGAAATTCAACCTTCTGTAGTCGGGGAAAACGCAAAGTTCTGAAGTATTACCTAGAGACAAGTATCGACATTTCTAAAAGAACAGTGAGAATTCCGCCTCTAACAAATAATTAGGCCCCCATTCAGTGTTAGCACTTCCATGGTAAATGAGTCATTGCCTTTTTATCTTTGTTATTTAAAGTCGGATTTCAGATTTATTTATCTTACTGTATGCTCTTTATCCCGTCTCTTCAAGGATCCAAACAAACCGTCGGCTCACATTGAGGGAGCTAATAAAGGGGATGTCACTTACCAAGTCAACAAAGGTATCGGTCATAATAGCGATATCTTTGTTTATGGATGCTATTATTTTGATTTTGTCACCGTCCATATTCTCAAGCTGATATGCGTTGCATGCGGACACTCATTTGTTATCTGGTTACTGGTCAGGCAATGAATGACATGTTGATAATTTTCTGGGAACTTTTCCTAGGTTTCATAGGGCCGGGTTCTTTTAAAATTACATGAATTTAAATAATAATAATAATGATAAACAATTTTCCAAAGCGTAAAACGCATAAATTTACTCCTGTTTGGAATTTTATCTTTAGTAACGCCGCTTTCCATACAGCTTTTATTTCATCTTGTCACCCATCTTCCACTTGTTTCATTATAAAAACTGCAATTTGGGCCACCGGGCGGACCCACTGCGGCGGACCCAAACGTTAGACTTACCGCACTGTTGTTTGATGGTTTTGCAGTAATCAAAGACTGGACTCTAAGTGCTCCCTACAGCCATCTCGCAGGCGGTATGAAGTATAAAGACGGAAAACTTACTGTACCCATCCCTGGACGTTATTACATTTATGAACAAATTTACTGGCGTGGCTATAGAGGAAAGCCTGTCAGAATTTCTATCCTTCTGAACAACAAAGTGATCGCCATGGCTCATCCACCAATGAACTCGCTGCGAAGGGACGAGTTTACGATTTCCACAGGTGGGGTGTTTCATCTTAAAGCTGGTGACGTCATTACCGTGGCCGCCACGCACTATGCTGGGATAGCCTACATGAAAACTTACCACAGCTTTTTTGGCGCGTTCTTGATTTGAAATGCACCAGGATTTTTTCCGATGCACGAGTGTTTTTTGGTAGTTTTAGCCTCTTTTCTTGATCCATTGTGTCAAAATTAAATAAAGTGTTGGAACAACCTTTCAGCTGAATAAACTAACAATCGTTAACAGAGCTTGGCTTTAAGTGCTTTCTTCTTTTTTGCGTGGTTAAATATAAGGGGTTCCGCGTATCCCAAATCCCATTTTGCTATTTTTTCTCGTTTTCATTCGTATTATAGCCTAGATCATGGGTGGGGGTAATCATTAGAATTTTCTTAGCTTATGGTGCTCAACTGCAAGCACAATACGTAGTGAAAGAGTGGGAACTGGGGAGAGAGAAACAAGCGACGACGTAATTAGCGTGAACAGGCTAAAGAAATAGCTAAAAAACGGTGTGTTCTTCTTTACTCTCCTCCTACCCCAATTCGACCTTTCTTTCCCCAGTCTTTCTTAGCTTTCAAAATCAAAGATGGCGACTGCAGGAAAATTCTGACAATCCTTGATAACAGTTTTATGAGCCCGCGTTTTCACCAAAACTGCTGAACACCAACCTGGTTCAGGTAATTGTTATCTAAGGTCTTCCGAAAATTCTAATCTCTCGCTCACCAGAAAAATACGCCCGTCAACTACAGGATAGTACATATTGCATATAATAATTGCAACCTTTCGTTTTTTTGTTTCCTTGTTAACTCTTTGTCAAGTATAATAGGATTTGGAGAATTTTTAAGATAAGGCGGATTTGGTGTCTAGACTCAAGGGTACAAGTATTAATAAAATTACCCATTGGCCCTTTATTATCCGCTCGGAACGAGGTCGAACAAAAGTGACCTATTGGTACAGGATAATCGCCTCCTGATTGGTAGTTTTTAGCTAAGTGACAAGGCGGCCATGCTGGTGCACAACCAATAACTTTTTTTTGCAAAGTTTGCTTGAAAAAGAGAAGAGTTTAGTTGTATAACGTGGAGGGAAGTTCTTTGGTTTTTGTCCTTGTCCTTCTCAAACTCATTATTAAATAATTCATAAAGTAAAAAAGGGGGAAATCAGATGAAAAACTGCTCATTTTTGCATCCTTAACTTCTCCTTCTCGCATTCGACACAGTGTTTTATCACCAGATAATACACCTCGAAGTTCGTCAAAAATACTCCGCTGTAGTGCGTCGTATTTTTAACTCCCTTCTCGGTGTTTCATCACTGCGTCCCATGCTTGATAATTACAACTTAGTGCATGGTCGTCATCAGTCAGCTTGGACGGTCAGCTGAACGTTGTAAACTCGAGTCACGAGAATTTCGCGGGATTTTTTCTTGCGTGGTCACGCCCCCAGTCATTCACCTTATTAGGCTATACTTTCCATAAAGGGCATACATAGAACAAAGAGATTGCCATATAAGGGCTTCAAAACAAGTCTTTCCAGTCATTATGCCTGACCACTTGTTTACAACTTGAAAGTCTTACAGTCAAACCAGGTCAAGCGAACCCCCCAAGAACCCATTAATGAATTTATTATTCAAAAGTTGAATCCGTTGTTAGTTGTAGATTTCAGATTGTCTTTGCATTCTTGAATGTGTAATGAGCCGTGAATTCACACGCGAGGCAGTTATGAAATTTCTACCAGCTCCATTTTCCTGAAATTGATGTAAATGTCTTCTAAGAAGCTTAATCCATTCAAAGATTTCCAATCTGACCAAATACAGAGAAGTTCTCGTAAAATATTCACTGCTCATTACGCGTGCAGAAATGCCGCTTTGATTTGACATCAGTTACGGGAACGACTAACGGATTCAGTTTTTAAATAATCAATTCACTGATAGAATCTTGGGGGGTACGCTTGACTTGGTTTGACTGTAATACAAACTACGAAAATCCGTTTCACTTTAATTGCGGGCGGAAGGGACGTTCAAAGAGTCCACAATGGTTGATAGCATCTATCGAACCCGTTCTCTTGGAATCGGAGAGTCGGGTATTCCCGATCAATACGCCGATGGGAAGGCAGCAAGAGTTTGGCAACACTATATTGGCGGACACAAGAAGAGAACTGAGTCATACAGGGAGTTCTTCTGTAATCTTTTGAACGAAAACGGGATCAGACACATCTTGGATGTCGCTTGTGGCACGGGGTGAGAAAACTGTTGGTGTATAAAGTAGGTAAAGCGAACTTTTAAGACTTAAAACACGTTGGTGAGGATCTGAAATGGAAAACTCGTGTTGCTCATAACAGCTTAAGTTTTGTTGTTTTCTCTTTACGGCTTTAAGTGTTTTAGCATACGAAGGTAGTAACTTATGATCTCCAATCGATTTTTACCCGACAAAAAAGAAGAAACATTAGGCTAGAAAGACAGGATACATTTTTTGGTTGTTCCGATTTTTTCGTGACAAAAACCTTCGATTCGTGGCATATTTGAAACATATGAACACACCAACATTGTATTCAAGCCGGTTCACACCTAGCCTGCGAAGCGCAGACGCATTTCCGGTCGTCGCTTCTCTCCCTCCGAAAAATAGCGTCTGCGAACCCGAGCGACAAAACGATTTCCGTGACGTAAAACATTTTTAGCCAATCGCGGTTTAGCTCTTAAAATCAAGGAACTAACTCGCGAGACTTCTCGCAGGATCGTGCGCGATGGATATGTTTTCAAGTCGAAATTGAAAGGACGACGTGGCTTGTGTATAGCCGTCCTTTTTTCTCAGAACGACGCGTTTACGAAAGTTAATTTGCCAGGATTGTGGGACTGATTGACGAAATAAGTATCAAGAGGATTCATATCGAAGAAAAGATTAGAGGACATTTTTCATCTATTTGCCTACGGAGTCAATGATTTATCAGACGTAGTTGTTTTGATCATATTCGAAACGATAACTGTCCTAATGACAGTAGACGCATCATGCCGTTTGTTGCTTCTGTTCCTTTCTGGTTCCTGGCAGGAAAGTATGCCTTGGAGAACTCTTCGATAGTTTGTCGTGTGCCGTTTTAGATATTTTTTAGTAGATATCCTTTATCTTTGAAAGGTAGGACATGTGGTAATTGATTTCCCATGCGTGGTTGCTTCTTGGTTCAGATAGAACTTTGATCAGATCGAAAGCATTTTATATTTGCTCCGGTATATTTCTTTAAATACATGTTCTTTTCAAGGTTCTCATTTCCATAGTTTTTTGTGAGATGAGTAGAAGCGTCGTAGCTGAAATGTCATTTTGACTATGATCTATTTACTGCTGTAACTATTTATTTCACGCTGGGTCTGGCCCAGGTTTATAATATTTCAGTCAAGCCGGTCAAGTCACCCGAAAGTCATCTCGCCCGAAGTCATATCGCCCGGAACCAGAGTTATGTCGCCCGAAATACATAGTCATGTCGCCCGACATCCTAAGTTATGTCGCCCGCAATTTTTATCGAGTGTATAAACTTGAAGAAAAGTAACATCTTAAGTAAATCGCAAGGAATAAACTCCTAAAATGTTGACTCGCTAACCTATGCAAATATGAAGTTAAGCAAAGACTCCAATACCGCTGTTCATTCACTGTTCATTTCAGTGTTGTTCCTTGTTCGTTGCTATGAACTAAGCCCAGCTGTAAGCCGCTCATTCTACAGTAAAGATTGTTGTAATTATGTTCTCTTAGTTTGATTTCTTGTATAAAAAACAACCTGAAACTTTTACAGCGGTTTTTGTTGTTTATTGTTAACCACGTGAACAAAGCGTGTTAGCATCATTCCCCTTAGGATCAGACGCGGCATAAATTATCGCGACTTGTTCAGTAACTGTTGTTCCTTGTTTCCTCAGGTGGTCGCACGTAAATTTTGATCCGGTTAACCATATATAAAGAGGGTAAATTAATACAGTGGAACCCTGTCATACGACCACCCCGTTATTGCGACCACTTTTTTGTGGCCCGAACAAAAGCCCACTCATTTTCTTATCTGAAAATCCCGTTTATCCGACCACTCCGTTAATACGACCAACGACCACCTTTGGGAGTCCTGAGTCGTTATTTTCTTTATAAAATTACCTCGTTTATACTACTACATTTATTTTAGGTTTACTATCTCCATGAAAACGACAGCGAAACAAACAACCTGAGTTTCATAGTTTCACTCTGACTAGCAATTTTAGAATCTTTTTGAGCATTATGAAATTTCGGGCGAAATGACTCAAAATATCGGGCGACATGACTATAAATTTCGGGCGACATGACTTCGGGCGAGATGACTTTCGGGCGACTTGACCGTAAAGCTTTCAGATCATTGTGTTGTGGCGATACTAGAATTATTAACGAGCGATTGTTAGAGATTTCTGAATCAGTCAAGGATGTGTCTGTGTAATTGATTCACCACCTTTTGTCAGCGCTGGTTAAATTGAAATAAATAAGTTTGAGCGCGATGTCATTAAGCTATGTTGCTTTCCTTTCGCTGTAGCGATTATTTTGTCCAGGTTTTGTTTATGTCACGTACTACCGTATTTTATAAAGCGAAACCAAAGGCCCACATCACATACATAGCTTAAGAAGCAGTTGCTTCATAAAGAAGTCAGCATTCAACGTCGCAGGAAACCTTGTTATGGTCGTGAAATTCCCGTTCCAAAGCGTATTTGGTAATTCTCTCCAAAATCCAAGACACTTCAGCGCGCGAGGTCGCGAGGAGTCACTCGAGCTGTATTCTATCCTTTGATCTGATTGGCCTACATCAAAACAAAAGGTTTTACGTCACGGAAATCGTTTTGTCGCTCGGGTTCGCAGACGCTATTTTTCGGAGGGAGAGAAGCGACGACCGGAAATGCGTCTGCGCTTCGCAGGCTA